GAAACCCTGTACAGGGTCGCTATGGGTCGGAACCGACTCGATGGCAAACAACAACAACGACAACAACATAACTCACACTCTGGTTCAGAGGCAGCCAGAGAGTAAGAGTCCTTGTATTTCATTCGGGGATCTGTGGCTATAAAATGAGCAGTGTTCCTACCATCCAATTCAATTCCTCTCCTCTGTGACATGATAGGACTGAGATACACAGCCCTGGATGTTCCTTCTTGCTCTACAAGTTCCTTATTCTAAGGGATGAACTGAAATCTGTCTCAGGAGGAAAAGATGCTGAGGTCATAAAAGAAATGCTTACTCGAGTAATATCAGTGCGTCTCATTGCTTCAAGATCCCTGGGTGGTACAAATGGTTAATGAACTCAGCTGCAGATCGACAGGTTAAAGGTTCTCATCCACCCAGAGGTGCCACGGAAGAAAGTCCTGGCAACTCACTTCAAAAAAATCAGCCACGGAAACCCTAGGGAGCCCAGTTCTACTCTGACACACGTGGGGTCACCATGGGTTTGGAGTCAATTGATAATGCTCATTGCTTGGCCTCTGGTCCTTAAGAAACCCTCTCTGGCACAGCAGAACCAGCTCTCATTTCTAATGCATGTGTCCACCCTGATCCCAGACCAAGTGGAGCCTTCGTCTGATACAGAGGAGAGAGCACATCTTGGTTCTGAACTTCCTCAACAGGTCAGACTGTGACAGATTCCGAACTGCAGTGGGTGGGGAAAGAGGCCCCTGAACAACACCAAGAGGGTTATAACTATAGCAGCATCTAATTAAAGCCTTGAAGAGACCAGCTACATCGACACAGATCCAGAAACAGTGTAAAAGGAAAGAGGCTGTGAGCACTAGTAATTAATAAAAATAGCAAGAGCTGAATAGTTTAATGAAAAGATACAAGGGCTCTTCAAAAAGATCATGGAAAAAATCCTTTATCTTCTCATTCCATCTTTCCCATCATTTTTTTGAAGCCCCCTCGTATTGTCCCTGTTCAGGATGATAGGCGTATACAACCTGGTGACAATGTCCCCAAGAGGCTGGCCTAAGTTCACCTGAGAGCTGCACACAGTTTAGCTTTGCTTTTGTTCACTACAGCAATTTCACTTCATTTGTAACCATTAATACACTTGTTGTCAACACCCCATTCAAGGAGACCCTATTCCCAGTCCTGCACCATCCCATGAGCAGTGGTGGATGGGACTATTCTGGCCCACAGGGTTTTCATGGGTGCTGATTTTCAGAAATAAATCACCAGCATTAGTCCTTGTTAGTTTGGACATTCCGCTGAAACCGATTCAGCATTGGGCAAGCCTCCACTGACAGATGCAGATTAGCTGCGCTCCAGGTGAACTGGCCCAGAATGGAACCCAGGACTCCCACAAGGAAGGTGAGAATTCTGCTACTAAGCCACCATAAATGGCCCTGAAAAGGCTCTGAGATTTTCAGCATTGTCTCATCACAACGTCATAGGTGCCATTATTCCTCCCATTTTACCAATGAGGACATTGATAACAGTAGCATGGTCATAGGACTTGGGTCCTCGAGATCCCCATACCATGCTCTGGAGCCCTACACCCTGTGTCAGGACAGTGCAGCCCCTTCTGTACTGTGCTTAACTTGAGGAAGATTCACTCATCAGTCTGTCCTGTTCAGCTGGAATAAAGGTCTGTTAGCGTCCTTGGGTGGTACAAATGACTAACATGTTCAGCTGCTAACCCAAGGATTGGAGGCTCGAGTCTACTCAGAGGTATCCCACAAAAATTCAGACACTATCTCTGCCACTTAGGAACTCACAGTGCACGAGGGCCAACAGGACACACCACCAACCCATTCATTCCCTCTGACCCCAAGGACAGAGAATATAGCAGGTGGTCTGTATGCATTTAGGGAAAGAATAAAGGAAAAATGAAAAAGACAGAAGGAGAAGGGGAAGGAAGGAATATTCAAGGAATAAACACAGCTCTTCAGATAAATAAACCAATAAGCCCTTTCTAGCCACATGAAAACAGATGTCACACATGGGTTCCAGAGGTGTTCTCACCTGGGCACCCTGATAGCTCCTCTACCACCAAAGAGATGTGTTTCCTGTTATCAGATGCAAAGGGATACATGTAACCTGTGCTTTTTGTTTTAAATCAGCTCAGTGTTGGTGTTTTTCCTCTCCAAGCCAGAGAAGGTAAGGAGATTGACAAGAGTCCTGGTGTGGCACCATAGGATAAACTCTGGACCTCAAAGGCAATTTGAACCACAAGGTTGGCAGTTCAAACTCTCCAGCAGGATCTTGGAAACCCTATACAGGGTCAACTATGAGTTGGTACAGACTCAATGGCACTTCACAACAAGAGTAATTTCAGCACAGCAAACACCCCATCTTTCCTTCACCATAGCTACCCCAAACCCTCACTCCATCCCCGTCTCAGTCCCTCTGGGGCCCCTGATCAACTGGAGAAAATATGCCTTGCTTACCCTGAACTGGAGGAGGGGAGACATTTCCCTCTTTGGAGGCCTCACATTCCTTCAGTTTCTTCTTCAATGTTGAGATTTCTCGGCGAATGGCAAGGACGTTGTTTTTGTCTAGTGTTTCAAGCTTCTCTACCAGGAGACTCATATTCTTTATCTAAAGAAATAAAAATTCAGAGTGACTTTATATTATTGTGCAATTTCTTTCATAAACATTCCATGGCTGAGTTTGTCATTTAGTGAAACGTTGCCAGCGAATGCATCAGAGATTCTCCTGAGCAGTTTCATTTGGAAGAATACATTTTATGGTTTAGTGTGAATGCCTGTCAAATCTCAGGCAGATGCGTGTGTGACAAGAAGAAAATGACAAAGATTTTAACAGCTTTAATAATGGTGCACAGGCTCATTCTGAGCATCCACAAATGTCCATTAAAGTTCATTTCTAATAACCTTCCCTCTATAAACTCGTGTTTACTCATGTTGCATTATAATTAAGTTTCTAACGAATGTTGAAGGCCAGAGAAAACTTAAATTCTGAAATATGTAACTAGAATACTCAATTATAGCCCATGTTATGACTGAGTTAGTAAATTCTCCTTGGCATAGATTATACAACCATACTACCAATGAGATGGTCTTTATCCAGAGATCTTCCAGACTGATGTTAAAACATATTCACAAGAAATCACATGAAACAAGTTCTCCAGAATTTGCGGGATGGTTCCAAGTGCATCAAAAGGATTAGATGTTCTTTCAAAAGGGTAAATAGATCTAGCAAGTTCACAATCAGGTAAATTGTGGACTTCTAGAAAAGGCTCTCATGAGGATAAATCTAGAACAAAGAAGATCCCTGATTGTCTTGTCCATGAATGGTTGTTTGAGTTAAAATTGTCTCCTTTCTAGAGAAGTTGAAAGGTCATTTGGTTCTGTGGCAGCATCCTGACAGTTACATACTTGCTCCTCATTCCATGTGTGAGGCAAGCAGTAGTTAATGCACTGCACTGCTAACCAAAAACTAGAGGTTTGAGTCCACCCCAAGGTTCCATGGAAAAAATCCCTGGTCACCTACTTCTTAAAGATCAGCCACTAAAAACGCTATGAAGTGCAGATCTATCCTTTGAATAGTAAGTTAAACACATTGGGGACATGCAGATTGAGGACCAGACCATACTAATTGCTATCCCAATGTGTCTAATTTACTATTCAAAGACCGATGCCTATCCATGGCACAGGACATGGCCTGCAGTCATGAGAAAGCACAGAATTAGAAGTCGGAAGAGAGATTTCTATCCCGTTGTAGCACTGGTTCTCAGTCACAGAGGAGAACTTACTTGTAGTATATTGTCCTTACCTCCATTTCCAGTCCTTCAACAATATCCGAGCTGCCAGTCAAGCTCCCCTTCAGCTGGACAATCAGTTGTTCTATCTCTATCACTTCTGCCTTGATCAGCTCAAAGTCCAGTTCTGTGTAAGAAGTAGAATCCTTTTCCATGATCTCTACTCGGACAGTTAGGTTTAGGATCTTCTTTTCATAGACACTGATCATTTCGATATACTTGTTTACCTAAAGGGAATCAAAACATCCAATTGAGACCTTGGAGGAATAGCACACAGTTCAGTCTCTCTTCACAGTCAGGCCCCTTGAAGACTAGTAGATTCCTGTCCATCACTTTTTTTTTTTTTTTTTTTGGTAAAAAAATGGATTAATAAAAACATAATGATTTTGTTTTCTTTCACATCTAAATGTGAACTAAAAAGAACATTTTTTGGAGAGACATAAATTTTGCTTTAGATTCCTCACTTGTAAGTACCTTATTAATCTCCATTTTAATGTTTAAAGATAAGCTAACCAAACCCAACCACCTTGAATCACAGTCTCTTACCCTCCCTTCTCCCACAACCCACACTGCAAATCAAGGTTTCTCACTCTTGACACTATTGGTATTTTGGGTTCCATTACTCTTTCCTATCAAGAGCTGTCATATGCATTATAGGCTGTTTAGCAGCACCCCTGGTCCCTAGATCCCAGTTGTATCCTCATTCAGTGGGACAACCAAATCTTTAGACATTGCTGAACCACCCCCGGGGGGCGTATCCCATCCCTCTCCCCATGCGGAGTCACTGCTCTCATTTCTAGAAGAGAGGGAGATGCACTGAGTAGAAGTCTGTCTTTGATCATCACAGTGAGTCCCCTCTGCCTTCTACAAAGTGGCCTAAAGACCCCATTCCCCACACAATATGTCAGGGTATGTGTAACTGTAAAGTGCACCTTTCATTAAAAGCGCTGGCATTTATTCCAAGAACTGATTATTGCAATCAGACCTTTAAATTACACATTTGTTGCATATATTTGAATGTCTGATCATTAAGTTAAAATAATTCCAAAAATTCCCTTGGTATCTCAGTGTCTAATTGGAATCTCCAAATGGATATTTTAATAAACACAGTTGGGGAGTTCTCTGTATCAGATCTCCAGTCTCAAATGCTGTGGTTTTTTTAAGGACCTGCTCATTAAAAGTTTCTGGGTTTACATTCTTTCAAAAAATGTGAACATAAGTGATACTTCCCGCCCCCCTGAACTGAACTAATGTCATGTAGTTGATCCACGGTGCCAAGATGGATTTACAGCCAGATGTTGGTCTCTAATCCTTCTAATACCAAAGGCAGCCCTAACTTCTGTCATTTTAACCCTTCCACTTAACCCCACTGTGCAAATTAGAGCAGACTCACAGGCCACAGACCTAAAGGCTTCAGGCAAAGAGGATTTTAATGAAAGTTGAAAATGCTGCCCTTGGCACTGCTAGTGTATCTCCTCGGGCAACTGATGCTCACTGCCACCAGATGTACACTGGAGGCTGAGAAGACTAGTGGCATTTTGGTGGGTAGATAAGCTATCTGTACATATATATTTAACTTTACAAGCCCTCCTCAAAAGCACAAACTCAGATATAAGGTGGCCGGGATTCAAGTGCTACAAAAATCAGGCACAGGATCTTTCTCATAAAAAAAATAATAATAATGTGCCAATGCATTGCAGAAATGAAAGTCTAAGAAATGAATACGCTTGCTGGCAGTGGATCTTGCCAACTCTTGGAACAAATGAAACACCCTCCGCTTTCCTGGAACATTTTGATGGCACATCACAGATGTTGTTCTACAGAAAGGAATGATTCAAGTATCATCTCTGCTAAATAAAATATGGCTCTCTTAGAAATTGCCATTTCTCTCAAGGCCAAGGCATGAGCTAGAATTTGCTACCTACAAGACTGCGTGGTGTGTCTGTCTTCCTTCAGCCCAAATGAAGCATCTCTAAAGAAGGGCGGGATCCCTGGGTGGGGAAAACAGCTCAGCTGTTTCAACTCAAAGGTTGGGTGTTTGTGTCTACCCAGAGTCTCCTCAGAAGAAAGGCTGGAGATCTATGAGACAGCTTCAGATAGTTTGTGTAAAAATTCTATTATCATTCTATTCCATTTTCCAGGGACTTTTTGAAGCTCCCTCATACTTCTGAAGAGCCAGCCACTGAAAATCTATGGAATCTAGTTCTACTCTGACATACATGGGGCTACCATGAGTCAGAGCGAACTTTACAGCAACTAGCTTAAAGGTCTGTTTGCAGGAGAAAGCTGAAGGTTCTTTCCAGTTGACATTTACATGGAAACTCAGTGGCATTCAGGAACTCTGGAATCATCCCTGAAGTTGTGAAGGTGAGCAGGAAACTAAGGATGGGGCAACAAGGCTTCACAGTATGAATTGTACATATTTTAGCAGAGCTGTGGCTCTCTCAGGATAGTGTCACCTCAGAAGAGGCAGCTCAGCTTCCCAGAGATGCAGATCGAGACTATGGGTCTAACCCTGAGGGAACACAGCTCTGAAGCAATGCCGTCATCAGGACGTTCCCCATCAGGACAAGTCTGAGCACCAGAAGACTCATCTCTGCTTGCTTTACTTTCACCCCACCAGCTTACATCCACAGCTCCCATTTTTGTTTGCTCATGAAGAATTGTCTACTCTATTGGTGAATTCTGAGAATCAAAGTTTGTTTAGGGGTTTGTTCCTACAATGTTCTGGTGATTCTTCTTTTTAATAAATGCAGTCTTGTGATAAATAAGAATATAATGCAGCTGGTTACTGAACTAAAGAACAGTCCAGCTCATATTTCTACCAATCCTTCAAACCTGTGATGACGGCTGTGACCAGCTTACTGGAAATAAGTAAATGTACTTCATAAAGTGGGGTTATGTTCAATATATCTTTAAAAATAAGTACAAGGTTAAGCAAGCCTGAAGTAATCATCAAAACATCTTAAAGTGCTGGGAAAGCAATGTTCCTGGTGAGGGTACACAGTATTTGGGAGTGAGGCAACCTGGATTCAAACCTAAATTCTATGCTTACTGAGCAAATCATCAAGTTTCACTAAGTCTTAACATCCCACTGTAAACAAGGGCTAATAGTATCGATCTTGCAGGAGCATGGTAAAAACTAGAAATCATGTACATTAAGTGCCTATCATAAGTGTTGATGTTGCTGGTTGCCATGACATCCAAAGTAGAACTGCTCCATAGCATTTTCAAGGTTGTGACTTTGGGGAAGCCGATCATCAGGTCTGGTTTCTGAGGAGCCGCTGGGTAGGTGGCTAGTGAGTGCTTAACCATTTGTACCACTCAGGATTCCTGCCTAACATAATGTCGTTGTTGTGAAGTGCTGTCGAGTCAGTTCCAACTCATAGCGACCCTGCATAGGGTTTCTGAGGAGTGGCTGGTGGATTTGAACCACCGACCTTACAGTTAGCAGTACACCGAGACTCCACCTAGCATAAGCAATGCCTTATAAACTGCAAAAATGATTCTAAAAACAGTGATTTCAGTGTTTTTCCATTTGACTTTTTAGTATATTGCATTTTCCTGTACCACGCAGATGCTCAATCTGTGCTATGTCCCTATTTCCTCAGTGTCCCCAGGCTGCCTCAGCCGCCTCAGGAATGAGGGTCTATTAGCAAATGTGTCCTGTTAAATAACCTTCCCCAAAGACCAGATGTCTCCAGGGAAAGAGAAAACGCTGAGCTTTTGTGCAGTCCCCTTTCTAAGTAGAGTCACAGGAGGATAGATCATAAACAACAGAAAAGCATAAAATGCTTTCAGCATCTAATACAAATGCAGCTCCCTGTTTTCTCCATGTACTGACAGATAATGAATCAACATAAAGCGGTCAGAAACCTTTCCTACTGGCCTACCCAAAATGGGCATTTCCCCTAGGCCTTGAGATAAATGGTGATTTCCAAGGCAATTTGGGGACAGCTGTAATAATTCACCTGGAACCCAACAGCCTTCCACTGAAGAGATAACTTCGGCTTTGAAGGCATTACTTGCCTACTGCATCTCTTCTTGGGACTGCTCTGGATGAAGACAATGGCATGCCCAAGAGAACAAAAACTGGGATGATTCCAAAGACCCCAATTTTCATCTGGCTTCACCAGTCAGGAGAGATACAGCCTTTACCTTTATGAATCTCGGTTTTCCCATTCCTAAACTGGGAGGAACAACACCTGAGCTATCTGCTGTCGAGGGTTGCTTGAGAGCAGACTAGAACTGGAAGTGTTTGGAAAGGCACAGATGGGAGCTATGACTGTTATGATGTTATTATCCCAGTCACAACAAATCATTTTGTGAAGCTCAGTTGGCAGGTCAATTTCTTTCTCAAGCCTCAATTACGAATTGTTCTAGAACCAGCTACTGTCATGTACAGAACTAACTTTTCATCCCACCTTAGAGATTCTTCCATCACAATTCTAAGCTAGGCAGGTGCCACTTGGCCCTCTTCCAGGAATGGAATGAAATGTGCCACATTCACAAACCTTCAGTAGTTCGAAGTAAGATCTAGCAGTTTTGGAAATCATATAGGGCAGTTCTATTTTGTTCCATAAAGTCGCTAAGAGTTAGAATCAACTCAATGCCAAGCTCTGTGTTCCCTGTGGAGCGGCATGGAGTGTCACACTGCCCTCCACACTCCAGCCAGCAAAGAAGACAAGCACATCAGGAGCTTCTAGGATTTCAAAACAAGTGACTCTAACTGAAAAGATCTTTACCTAGAATTTTTCTCCTCTTGTTATGTTTTTATGCATAACTTCTTATCTGTACTTGATTATGCTGAAATAAGGCTATGAATATTAATGGTTGGAATTTATAATTTAGCGCTGTGCCTTTTCTGCTGATTAATTCAAGGACATTTTATTTCTTAAGAAGGTTGGTTCCTGGAGTAGTCAAACGCATTTTCCTGGACACTCACTTAAACTGAAGAGTCTTTATCTACAAATTCAAGTTGAAATCAGGGTCTCAGCCTCACAATAATTTTTGTCTTCAAGGATAACTATATTGAACATTGAGGAGGCTCTGCTGAAATTTCTCAGGAAAAGTTGTTTTGAATCTTGCAGGGAAGCCAGAGCTCCTTGCAAACTGAGGGAGTTGTATTAATAATGCATAATGTGATTATAGCCTTGCTTGGACCTCACCTGTGCAGAAAATGGGAGTTTTTCTAATTGATTTTTAACTTGGTTAAGAAGGTGGAAAGGGTCAAAATTGGAACACCAAGTAGTCAGCTTGTTCCAGCCAGCTCAGAGAAAGGCAAATCCTTTAAGTTCATTTCATCTGACTAGAAAAAAACAGTTAATCAACACCTTTACCAAAGCTCAGTGGGCCTATAATGTAAATCAAATTCAAGTTCTTAGGGCAATTTTCAATTTTAACCTAATGCTAAACACAACTATACAATGTGTCTGCTGAGACAACAGAGAGTAACCAAGGGGAGAGAAGAAAAGGGAGCGAGCAAACCCGGAAGAGAAAGAAAAAGAGGAAGGGAAGAAAGAAAGAGAGAAAATATTTGAGGGGTAGAGGAGGACAAGGAGCCCTGGTGGCACAGTGGCTAAGCACTTGCCTGCTAACTTGTTGTTGTTGTTGTTGTTGTTGTTATTGTTGTTGTTAAAAACCATGGAGTAAGTTCCGACTCATAGTGATCCTGCACAGGGTTTCCGAGGTTGTAAATCTTTACGGGAGCAGAAAGCCTCATCTTTCTCCCATGGAACAGCTGTTAGTTTCAAACTGCAGACCTTGAGGTTAGCAGCCTGATTCATAACCACTACACTACCAGAGCTCCTTGCCTGCTTACTGAAAGGTCAGAAATTTGAACCCACCAACTGACCCTTGTGAGAAAGATATGGCAGTCTACTTCCATAAAGATTTACAATCTCAGAAACTCTATGTTGTTGTTGTTGTTGTTGTTGTTGTTGTTGTTAAGTGCTGTCGAGTTGGTTCCAACTCATAGGGTTTCTAAGGAGTGGCTGGTGAGTTTGAACAGCCAACTTTGCGGTTTAAAGTGACCTTGCAGTCTAGTGTTTTATCCCACAGCACCACACCAGGACTCCATGACTCTATGACTCTAACTGAAAAGATCTTTACTTAGGAAACCCTACAGGGAAGTTCTATTCTGTCCTACAGGATCACTAGGAGCCAGAATCAACTTGAGGACAGTGGGTTTGGTTTGGAGAAGAAAAAGAGGATAGAGCCATGTAAAAATTAAAGAGAAAAGAGTTGACAGGTGGCAAGGAATTAAGAAGGGGAGGAAAAAAAGGATTAGAAGGATGGACTGGGAAGAAGGTTAAAGCAAGGGGAGAAATGTGAAATAAAAGACAGAATAGGAATAAGAAAAAACAGTGAGAGAGAAGGAAGATGAAATTGGACCCATAAAGGATGGGAGAGAAGGACTACATGAAAGCAAAGCTGGGGGAAAAGAAACAACAAACAGACCAAAAAAAAGAAACAAAACAACAACAACAACAAAAAACACACAAAATGCACAAACAAGCAAAAACTGCAGTTTTGAGGTTTGTCAGGAGAATTTGAGGCTCCTTTTAACCAGTCTGAGCATCACCACACTGAGGGGAATTTATCCAGGGCGTGAATAATCTCGATCCCATTTTCTCCCTGTGTTCTCATTTCCCCAACCATAAAGGATCCGGTAGGTGTAGTGAAAAATCAATGTGAACGCTTCCAGAGTCTACAAATGCGCTGCCTTTGATGCAAGTCACAAGTGGCTGCTTATAAAATCCTAAGGTGAGGAGGAAGTGTTTTATTTTGTTTGTTTGTTTTATCAAGATACTATTTGAAGAGAGGAAGGAAAATAAAATAAAAAAATAAAAAAGAAGAAGAAGAAAGAAAGAAAATGCTTACTTTTAAGGCCTCTTCCCGGAACTTCTCAGAAAGAATGCTAGTTTGAGATTCCAGCTGCTCCACTCTGTTGACGGGAAAGGTGGTATCTGGCAGGAGAAGAGAGCACTGGCAGGTCCCCTGATTGTCCACAGAGCCAGTGAAATTGGATAATGGCTGTAAATGAAATTAAGTTCAACATCAACAATACGCTGGAAAATGAACTTTGGGGCAACTGGGGTAACGAGACTTGGCTTATGAAGAGTGTTTGTTGTGGCTAGCCATCATTGAGGGGGACCCTTACTCATAGTGACCCCATGCACAACAAAACAAAACACTGTCCGGTCCCTCCACCATCCCCATCATGAGTTCCAAATAAGACTTTTGTGACCCATAGAACCTTCCTTGGCTGATTTTAGGAAATAGATGACCAGGTGTTTTGTTTTTTTCATAGTCCTGTTCAGCATCATAGCAACACACAAGCAACCAGCGGCAGCTGACTGGTGACTAGCTGTACATGAGGTGCATTGGCCAGAAATTGAATTCAGGTCTCTCACACCAAAGGCAAGAATTCTACCACTCAGCCACCACCATCACCTCTAAGAGAGTGCTTAGAGGCCAGTAAGTGAAGCTCTACACAGGCATGAAAAAGCTAAAACCATGATTTTTTTGCAGATGATGACTATACATAGCATTTAACCATGTATATGCTGGTGAACAGAGCTCTGGTAGCATAGTGTTATGTGTTGGGCTGCTAACTTCAAGGTCAACAGTTTGAAATTGCCAGTCATTCTGCTGGAGAAAGATGAGGCTGTCTGCTCCTGTAAAGATTTACTGCCTCAGAAGCCCTATGAAGGGTTGCTATGAGCTGGAACCAACTCCACGATATACCACCACCACCACCTGGTGAAGGAAACAACTGTGTCAGCAGTCTTTACCTAAAGGAAAATCCTTGGTTCTTGAGGAGTCTTAAAGAAATTACTGTCTCTATGTAAGGAAGTCATTATTATTTCTAGGTATAGTGGTACAAATGGTTAAGTACTTGGTTACTAACTGGAAGGTTGGCAGTTCAAGCACACCCAGGGGGTCCATGGGAGAAAGACCTGACAATCTGCTCCCAAGGATTACAAGCTAGGAAACGCTACGGGATAGTCTTACAGAACTGGGTTAATGGCACTTAACAACAACAACAACTTGGAAGGAAAGAAAACAAAGAAGCACCTCATCTACCCTGAAACCTGAAGGACTAGATGGCTCCCAGCTACTGCTACCAACCACTCTGATCAGGGTCACAATAGATGGACCCTGATTGAGCAGGAGAAAAACGTGGGACAAAATTCAAATTCTTCTAAGTCCAGGTTTCTAGACCAATTGAGACTAGAGGACTCTTTGAGACTACCACCCTGAAATAATCTTTCAACTTTGAACCAAAATTGCCCCCTAAGGACATCTTTTAGTGAAATAACAGATGGGCATCAAAATAATGGCTATCATCCATGAATATTATACTCCTTAAACGCAAACAACAAACTACATACATTAATAAGACCAAAGGTCAACAATTACTCTAAAGCAAAGATGAGAAGACAAGCAGGGAAACAGAACAACAAGAATGCAATTAAAGGGAATGTTGATATATTATGAAAAATGTAACTAATGTCACTGAACAATTTGTGCAGAAATTGTCAAATAGGAACCTAATTTGCTGTGTAAACATTCAGTGAAAAAGAAAACAAAATACAATACAAAAATAAAAGAAAAGTAATGATACTTCTGGGTTTGAATTCGAATCTACCACTCACTAGACATGAACCTCCTTAAATCCCAGAATCCTCATCTATAAAATAAAGAGAACTTACTTTACACGCTTTTTCTGAGAATTAAATGAGTAAAGTGAGACAAGTTCCTGGCATAAGACAGATGCTCAGTGAATGTTATTTCCTCTTTCCTTCTCCTTACCTGTTTAGCCCAACTCATTTCCTCCCAGTAGGAAAGGAAAACAATGAAAATATATAATGCAAAATGCTATCCAGTATTCACCTGAACAATTGTATCATTAATATCTTACATCATGAAAAGAGTACAAACAAATTATCCATTTGTCAGAAACCAAATAATGTATGAGGTTGAAGATTTTGTGCAAATTGTTTTAAAATAAAAGTTTTCTTTACCACTTGCAGAAAAGCCATTTCAAAATATTTGATGTTTCTTTAAGATATTCAGGCTCACATTTCGGTGCTACTGCAAACTTTTAAATGACAGGCTGGAAAGTTCCTGTTTTTTCAGAGTTTTCTTCTTTCTTTTTTTGCCCCCTTTGAACTTCCCCAAGGGGATCCCAGCACAATTCATATGTTGTTTTGTTGTTGTTATTAGGTGCCATCAAGTCGGTACCGACTCATAGCAACCCTATGCACAAGAGAACAAAACACTGTCCGATCCTGGGCCAACCTCACAATTGTTGCCACGCTTGAGCCCATTGATTCATATATATATGATATATATATATATGATATATATATGTTGTTGTTAAGTGCTGTCAAGTCGGTTCCAACCCATAGCAACCCTGTACAGGGTTCCCGAGGCTGTAAATCTTTACGGGAGCAGAAAGCCTCATCTTTCTCCCACGAAGCAGCTGGTAGTTTCTAACTGCTGACCTTAAGGTTCACAGCCCGATTCGTAACCACTACACTACCAGAGCTCCTTGTATGTGTATATATATATATATATATATATATATATATATATATATATATATATAGAGAGAGAGAGAGAGAGAGAGAGAGTATATGAATGTATTGTGTGTTTGTGTGTGTGTATAGATACGGATATCTAGATAGATATGTATTTGTAGCCAAAACTTTCTGTTCCAGGTAAATAAAGTACTGACATTGGCCTCAATTTTATTCTCCAATCACACCCTCACACCTGCAGGAATTGGTGAGTAAGGAGAGATAAAAATAAATTTGTGCTGACCCCAGCATGGAGTATGAGAAAGGGTTTTGTCCAGGGATGAATACGGACTGAACATTTGACTGGAACCTATCAGAGGCTGGCTTCCCTTGGAACCGTTTTATCATTTCCTCTGACAATAGAAATACTCCAGCTCAAACATTTACAAGGAGAGCCAGCATATTATGGACTTTGGACCAATTAACTAACTATAACAACTGTCTAGTATATATAATATATGTTCTTTATTGCATTTTGACAAAAACCAAATGCCCTGCCATGGAGTCAGTTCTGGGCCATGGTGACCCCTGTAGAACAATGTAGAACTGCCCCATAGGGTTTCCAAGGCTGTAATCTTTAAGGAAGCAGACAGTTATGTCTTTGTCCTGTGGACCAGATGGGGGGTTCATACTGCCGACCTTCTGGTTAGAAGATGAGTGCTTAAGCACTGCATCACCCAGACTTCCTGCATTTTGACAAGGTGAGGTTAATTCACTGCATTAGAGTTCTCTGAAAAGTTCTGTCAATTAAAAAAATCCAAATGCATAAGGAGCTCCAGTAGCATAGTGGTTATGAGTCAGGCTGCCAACCTCAAGGTCAGCAGTTCAAAACTACCAGCGGTTCCATGGGAGAAAGATGAAGCGTTCTGTTCCCGTAAAGATTTACAGCCTCGGAAACCCTGTGCAGGGTCACTATGAGTCAGAATCCACTGCACTGTACCTAACAACTACGTATCATCAAACTGTCTCCAGATAATCAACTAGGCACCACTAGCTAACCACTTTCTGTCCTGAAGTTCACCTGAAAGGCAGACATATCATTATGAGCCCTGCTGACAGCCATTCCACCGGCTTCTGTTGAACATCTCTGTCCTAATGCTGTGGGCTCCCGAGTTTCCATCTTGCTTGTCATCCTCCCAGCGTGCTCAGCTGACATCAAAATGGTCTATAAGTTTGATCAGTGTCTCCCATTAGAGATATTTCTGCTCCTCACATTCAAAGACAATGAAGCTAACGCTGATGGTTCTCTCTGCGGTGAATGCTTAAGGTCTGCTGAGGAATGGGCGACAGAGACAAGTGCTTGTCTCCCTGACCTGTGGAAGGGTATATGATCCTCCCTTATCGAGGGCAAATGGTGTCCTCAAAAAGACAGTCTCCACTGGCAGGTTCACACTCACTCAGCATGTATTCAATCAACACTTACTGATGTCTACAGTTTAGCAGGCTCTAGTTCTGGTGTAGCACTGTGGGTTAATGTGCTGGACTGCAAAGTTACTTTGAGCCACAAAGTCAATGGTTCAAGCTCACCACCTTCTCCTCGGAAACCCTATACAGGGTCGCAACCAACTCAACAGCACTCAACAACAGCATTAGGGAGATTAACAAGTTCCAGTTCCTGCCAGGTGTATCAGACCTATTGTCATAATATAAGGCCTAATTTTTTTTTTTTTTTTCCTAAAGCCTCTTAGCATGATGACAAAAGCTGATGACTCATAATCTGCCTTGTGGCTCCAACAACGCCAGTTGCTGTGTGGGGTGAAGGATTTTGCCTCCTCTTTGCAGGGCGACATTTGAAGCATGACGAGTACGACTCACATTGATTTAAAATTGCAATCGGCTTTAATTAGCAGCCAAGCCTAAGTGCCTGCAAAGATTCAAGACATAAAATAATGGCATTCAACATTTCCAAAGTACAGAAAATGATACGTTTGGAACTTGCTCAATGACAGTTATCAAAGGGTTTCCACCACTTCCAAAGGGTTCATCACACTGACAGCCAGCCCCAGAAAAGTGGGAGTAGAGAGGAAGTGACACCTAAAAACGAAGTTGGAATTGTGATATAGACTCCTCAGAGGAAGAGAAGTAACCTAGGGAGGAAATTAAAACCTCTAAGTACAATTCAACTACTATTTCTTATCTCCTTTAAAATACCTATCTCCTTAGCAGTTAACAGGCAAGTCTGACATCTTTGTTTCTTGACCTATATTTTATTTTCTGTTACTTTAGCCAATGGCCTTACCCAAGTGTCGGTTTCTGACTGGTAGTAAAGGTTAGCAATCAGTATTAACTTTATGTTAAAAGAAAAAAAAAAGTTAATCAATCTTTGTCATTCCCAGAAATCATCATTTGGCATCAGTAGATCTGATTTCTGTCTATGAAGAATCTTAAGCTTATCTGTGGTTCTCGAGCCTTTCTCCATTTCTAAATAGGCTTTTTTTTTTT